GGAAGTTTGCTCGTTTCCGGCATGCGTTTGGCTCGGGCTTGCTGCACTCATTGGAAAGTCCGGGGTAGTCCATGTCGTGGAAGAGATTCACCAGCCTTTTCTCAACACTAATGGCACCGGCGGAAGAGAGGGAGTTGTTCATGGCTGCGAGTTCGTCACTCCATACAGCAAGGCCGGGGTTCTCAGCTTGATGACATTCTCGTGGCTGAATCCGCTGCTCGCTGTGGGAGCTCGCAAGCATTTGGACCTCAAAGACATTCCTTTGCTGGCACACCAGGATCGGGCCGAGGTGTCTTACATGAAGCTGAAACACAACTGGGACAAGCTCAAAGCGGAGAACTCGTCGAGGCCACCGTATCTCTTCATGGCGATTGCAAAGTCGTTCTGGAGGGAGTCGGCTTGGAACGCCTTGTTCGCGCTGTTCAACGTCCTGGCTTCGTACGTTGGTCCATACTCGATCAACGACTTCGTGGAATATCTCGGTGGGAGGAGAAGGTTTGCCAGGGAAGGAGTTTTCTTGGCGCTGCTATTCTTTGGTTCCAAGCTTGTGGAGAGCCTGACGCAGCGGCAGTGGTATATGGGGATCGACATTCTTGGCTTGCATGTCCGCTCGGCATTGACAGCCTTCGTCTATCACAAGGGGCTGAGGCTTTCGAACTCTTCTCGGCAGGGTCATACCAGCGGAGAGATTATCAACTACATGGCAGTGGACGTTCAACGAGTGGGCGACTTCTCGTGGTACTTGCAAGATACTTGGGTACTTCCGCTGCAAATACTTCTGGCGATGGCGATTCTTATCAGAAGCGTCGGTTGGGCTGCCTGTGCGACTTTAGTGGCTACATTCATCTCGATCCTGGGAAATATACCGCTAGTCAAAATGCAGGAGGATTACCAGGACAAACTCATGACTGCGAAGGATGAGAGGATGAAATCGACGTCCGAGTGTTTGAGGAGTATGCGGATACTTAAGCTCCAGGCCTGGGAAAACAGATACTGTAAGAAGGTGGAAAAGCTCCGGGAGGAGGAGTACGGATGGCTCCGAAAGGCTCTCTACACTCAGGCAGCTGTGACGTTTATTTTCTGGGGAGCGCCGATTTTTGTCTCAGTCGTCACTTTCGGGACCTGCGTCCTGATGGGGATTCCACTCACTGCTGGACGGGTTCTCTCGGCTTTAGCTACGTTCCGGGTATTACAGGAGCCTCTTCGCAATATACCGGATCTCCTGTCGACTATTGCTCAGACCAGAGTATCACTGGACAGGCTCTGGATTTTTCTTCAAGAGGAGGAGCTTCAGGAGGATGCAAGCATACGGTTGCCCTGTGATGACCGCACGGAAAATGCAGTCGAGATTGAAGATGCTTCTTTCAGCTGGGATGAAAGCGTGGCGTGTCCTACTTTGAAGAACATCAACTTGCGCGTGAAGAAGGGTATGAGAGTCGCAATTTGTGGCGTTGTTGGTTCGGGGAAGTCGAGCCTTCTCTCTTGCATCCTCGGTGAAATACCAAAATTGTCGGGAACAGTAAGTTGTTGGGTTTGTACGTTTAAAAAGCTGGACAGTATCTGATCTTACTTGTTTTCTCAGGTAAAGGTGGTGGATTCGACTGCCTACGTTGCACAATCTGCTTGGATTCAGTCAGGGAAGATTAAAGACAACATCCTGTTCGGGAAAAAGATGGACAGGATGCGGTACGAAAATGTGTTGCAAGTTTGCGCACTCAAGAAGGATCTGGAGCTTTTTGCGTATGGAGACCTCACCGAAATTGGTGAACGAGGAATCAACTTGAGTGGAGGCCAAAAACAAAGGATCCAGCTCGCCAGAGCATTATACCATGATGCTGAGCTCTACCTGTTGGATGATCCATTTAGTGCTGTCGACGCACACACGGGAACAGAGTTGTTTAAGGCTAGTGCTCTGACTTTTATCTCCTCTTTCCGACTAATTGGTTGTTTATTGTCACAGAAATGCATTCTTGGGGATCTTTCCACAAAGACCGTGTTCTTCGTCACTCATCAAGTGGAGTTCCTTCCTGCAGCGGATCTAATTTTGGTACGTCATCCCATGCGTAGCGTTTTTTTTTTTTTTTCCTCTCTCTCTCTCTCTTGAACATTTGTATATTGCTCACCTGCTGTCAGGTGATGAGGAATGGCGAAATAATACAGGCCGGTAAATACGACGAGCTTTTGCAAGCCGGTGCAGATTTTAATGCGCTGGTGGATGCTCATATCGAAGCCATCGAAGCGATGGATATAAACGAGTATTTGGTTGGATACGAGGACGACTTCGAGGACAAAGTTGAAGTGGATAGAGCTGGTGGGAAACTCAACAAGGTGGGCAGCAAGAATGCGGATAGAGTTGGCGGGAAGCTCAACAAGATGGGCAGCAAGAAGGATAAGTCTCGGAAAGCTCAGCTCGTACAGGAGGAAGAACGAGAACGCGGAAGTGTCAACCTTCACGTCTACTGGTCCTACCTCACTGCGGCATACGGTGGTGCGTTGATACCAGTGATCCTGTTTGCACAGTCTATGTTCCAGTTCCTGCAAATTGCCAGCAACTGGTGGATGGCTTGGGCAAGTCCGACAACACACGGAAGATCTCCTCGAGTCGGCAACTTACTCATGATCCTGGTCTACACGGCGCTGGCTTTCGGGAGTGCTATCTTTGTCTTCGTCCGAGCAATGCTTGTTTCCGTTTTTGGTCTTGTGACCGCACAAAAGCTATTCGTGAGCATGCTCTCCTGCATCTTTCGGGCTCCAATGTCTTTCTTTGATTCCACTCCAGCGGGGAGAATCCTCAACAGAGTAAGTTTTTATATATTTTTCTATTCTTTTATATCAGCTCTTTGATTCTCTTGTTTCTCGACAGGCTTCAACTGATCAAAGCGTTGTTGATCTTGATATACCTTTTAGACTTGGAGGTTTTGCTTCAACGACGATCCAGTTGTTTGGAATTGTCGGCGTGATGACGAAAGTTACCTGGCAAGTTATCATACTGTTCTTAACAGTCGTTGCTATTTGCGTCTGGATGCAGGTATGTTCGTTGATTTTTTTTTTTCCTTGATTTTCTGTCAACGGATCATTGTCTTCTTTGTTGCAGCAATATTATATGGCGTCTGCAAGGGAGTTGTCCAGACTGGTTGGCATTTCGAAGTCACCTATCATACATCACTATAGCGAATCAATTTATGGAGTTGCTACTATCCGAGGTTTTGGACAGGAAGAGCGGTTTAAGAAAACAAACATGGATTTGTACGATTCGTATGGCCGACCTTACTTCAACAGCTTTGCTGCAATCGAATGGTTGTGCTTACGGATGGAAATTCTTTCTACGTGTGTTTTTGCATTTTCTATGGCGCTGCTTGTGAGTTTCCCTGTAGGAGTGGTCGATGCAAGTGAGTAACGTGTTTTTATTCTTTAGTTTCTTGCTCTTGTCTTGATGGATTGTTTTTATATTTTCTCAGGCATTGCTGGCTTGGCGGTGACTTACGGACTCACATTAAATGCAAGGCAGTCACGGTGGGTGTTGAGCTTGTGCAAACTAGAAAACAAGATTATCTCCGTGGAGCGGATTCAACAATACACTCGTATACCGAGTGAGGCACCGCTGGTTCGAGACAACTGTCGTCCACCAAAGGACTGGCCTTCGGAAGGAACGGTGGACATAGAAAACTTGCAGGTATGGATTACCCGTAATGTCTGTCTCTTACAACTCTCTTTTCTTTCCTTACAATTTTGTCAGGTGCGGTATAGCTCACGTACTCCAATTGTTTTGCATGGAGTCACCTGCACATTTCCTGGAGGAAAGAAGGTCGGAGTCGTGGGCCGGACTGGCAGTGGAAAGTCTACTCTTATTCAGGCACTCTTCCGGATGGTCGAGCCAATTGGTGGTAGGATAATTATCGATGGCATCGACATATGCAGGATTGGGCTCCATGACTTGAGGTCTCGCTTGAGTATCATCCCGCAGGATCCCACATTGTTCGAAGGGACCGTTCGCGCCAACCTTGATCCCCTTGAAGAGCACTCGGACACTGAAATCTGGGAGGTAAGCCAACACCATCTTTTTGTCCCTTTTATCTAATAGTTCTTCCAGGCCCTAGACAAGTGTCAGCTCGGGGATTTGCTTCGTTCAAGAGAGGATAAGCTTGACTCGCCAGGTATGTGTGGCTTCTTGCACGACTCATGTTCTAAACGTGCAGCTTTTCTAAACTTGCAGTGACGGAAAATGGCGAGAATTGGAGTGTTGGACAGAGGCAGCTCTTTTGCTTGGGACGAGCTCTGTTGAGGCGTACACGCATTTTGGTCCTGGACGAAGCCACGGCGTCCGTCGACACAGCAACGGACGGCGTCGTCCAGCGCACAATCCGTGCGGAGTTTCTGAATTGCACGGTCATCACTGTTGCTCACAGGATTCCTACGGTGATTGACAGCGATCTCGTACTGGTGCTGAGCGATGGTTAGTCCTCTTTCTTTCTTTTCATAGTTTTGTGGGATGGTAATGGTTCTTCCTCGCAGGAAAAGTAGCCGAGTTTGACACTCCGATCAGGCTGCTGGAGGAGAAGTCCTCCATGTTTCTAAGACTAGTGACGGAGTACTCGATAAGATCAAGCAGCGTTTCAGACTTGACGCTTATAGGGTCGCACACATGAAGAGTTTTGTCTTCCATCAGGCAGCAGCGACATTCTTGAAAGAGTTCCAATCAGACCGGGGAGGAAACGTTCACACAAAAGTTTTGCGTCCATCCTGGCCGAGGTAAAATGTTCTACAGAGATTTTTTGTAAGCCTTGGAACCATGTATCGAAAATTTTCCAGGTAGAGAAGAGAAGGAACTTGCGGTCATGTTGTCTAAAACACGAAAAGAAAAATAACTACGTTATATTGTTCTATGTACAAATTTGTTCTTTTTGTTTGGTTCCAAACTACTCAAATGTTTGATAAGAACTTCTGTAGTAATGATAAGAACGTTTGATCAAGAGGATGTTTTTATAGTGATGATAAGAATGTTTTATCAAGAGGATTTTTCAAACTATAACATAATAATACAGGATATTAATCCGCTCGAGCTCGCTCCTCTTGAAGCGCTCGTCAAAGAAAAATTCCACTCTTTGTACAAACGCAAGTAATATACGTATCTTGCAATCTTACACCAACCAATATCAACCGTCACGATTACTGCCACGTCTGTGCCAAGACTCGGCCTCGCTATGTGTGATCTTTAAAGGCCGAAGCAAAAGTTTTCCTGGAATGTGCCACCGCAGCACCGCGCAATGGACAGCAAACCCAGAGGCTTTGGCACCCGAGTGATTCCGCTTGGAGAGATCGAGGTCCTCGAGGCCGAGCACCTGGAGAAGATCTGGGAGACGAGCGATGGAAGAGCTCTCTTTTACAAGCCTGTCCAGGTACCAGATGGGTTTCATGCGCTTGGCTGTCATGCAAGACGAACAGAGGTACCTGATAGCTTGCTGTTGTTAGTGCGAGGCAGCGGCGTCACCGCCGGTGCCTCCAAACCAGCTCCTCTCGCTCCACCCGTCGACTACTCACTCGTCTGGAAGAGCCCAGTTAGAAACGAGAATGAGACGGCCATGGCTTTCTGGTTACCTCTGCCTCCCGCTGGTTACAAGGCACTCGGCTTCGTCGCCAGCGTCACCAAGCCTGGAGTGGACGAGGTTGCCTGCGTTCGAGAGGATCTCACCAGCGATGCCACTATCTCCAACTCCATCTTGGCCTCTTCGTCCTCTTCCGTGTCCAGTTCTTCCTCTTCTGTTTTCACCGGATTGTTCCAGTCCCTGTGGAGTAGACTTCTAATGAGCAGTAGCAGCGTCGCCGACAACAACACCGTGGAAAGCTTCTACGTCTGGCAAACACGGCCGCGTGAGGTGGGAGTCACGGCCAAGGGGCTGAGCACCGGCACCTTCTACTGTTCCTCGTCCTCTTCATCCCCTCTGCCTTCCATAGCCACGCTCCAAAACGTGAGCTTTGATCTGCCTTCCTCCATGCCTAGCTTGCAGCAGCTCGATGCTCTCGTCAAGCGCTACGCCCCGATAATGTTCCTGCATCCGGACGAAGACTTCTTCCCTTGCTCCGTCGAGTGGTTCTTCCAAAACGGAGCTCTGCTCTACAGCAAACAGAACCCGTCCGCTCCGGTACAAATCACTGCGAACGGTGCGAATCTGCCGGGTGGCGAGACCAACGACGGGAGCTACTGGCTCGACTTGCCACGCGATGCTGCAGCTGCCGAAAAAGTGAGAAGAGGAAATCTAGAGAGCGCAATCACGTACCTGCACGTCAAGCCGGTATTTGGCGGAACGTTCACCGACATGCAGTTCTGGTTCTACTATCCTTTCAACGGCCCGGCAACTCTCAAAGTCGGGCTCATCAACGTCAAGCTCGGGAAAATCGGGGAGCACGTCTCTGACTGGGAGCACCTGACCCTTCGCGTGGACAACTTCACCGGGAATTTGTCCAGCGTCTATCTCGGACACCACAGCTCCGGCACCTGGTATCAGCCTTCCGACTTGGAGTTTGATAGCACCACCACCTATAGGCCGTTTGTGTACGCGTCCAAGCACGGCCATGCCCTTTATGCTCATCCGGGAGACAACCTCCAAGGCGACGAAGAACGCGGGCTCGGGATACGCAACGATACAAAGCGGAGCAGCTTCACCTGGGACGTTAGTAAACACCAGCTGATATCTGCAGCTTACTTGGGTGTAGAGGAGCCACCTTGGCTCCAGTTCATGCGTGAATGGGGCCCCAAGATCCAGTATAACTCCAGGACCGAGCTGGAAAAGGTGTTCAAATTCCTTCCCAAAAAGATAAGGAGGTCCATCGAAGATATCTTTAACAGGTTTCCGAACGAACTGTCTGGCGAAGAAGGTCCCACTGGACCCAAGCAAAAAAACTTCTGGACGGGAGACGAAAGATGAATGAGGTAACCTGTTGTTGCAAGCAAAGAAAAATTACATATGGGCGAAGTTCTGGTTGCGTAGGAACACTAACCTGATCGACGCCAAGCTGTGTGGCCTGTAATCTGTATGGTACAAGATTGTTCATTTCTCTTCCTCGTCCGAAACAGTTGTGTCAAAAACTGGTTCCGGCTGAGTTTGTGCGTATGCAGGAGCAATAAACTTGGGATCTTTTGCAGCAAGTTCGGCATACTTCAATATTGCTTCCCGAGGATCCTCCTCCATCCAGTTCTCCGTCATTGCTCCACCCTCCTGCAGTTCATACGAGTTTTAGAACCAGTGGTTTGGCATAAAAGAGATGCTTACCTTCAGTAAGTATTGAGTGAGCAAGCTTCCCTTTGTCGCACCCACACGACCACCATGACCAGGACCATTGATGGGTAGGTCCGGTCTCCGGGATTTCAGAGGATCATTTCGAGCCTTTTCTCGTTGACGCTTGCGGCTTGGTTCGTCTCTGAACATAGGTAGAGCATGCGGATTTCTAACCACTGGTGGAGCTTCAAAGTCGTCCACAGATTTTTTTCGTGGAGCCCGCCCAACACAAACCAACGCTCCTCTCTTGCTCAAAACCGGGTCGTACAATACGTGAGTATTGCCTTCTCTTTTGTCGCCCGTAGTGGCAAATATCTGATGGTTTCATTTCGTTAGCACGAGAAATTGAACATCTAAATGCCAGAGTCAGTACCTGATTCAATCGCGGATGCCAAGCACAGCAAACAACACTTCCTGACGAGGATATCCCGGTTTTCCGAACAAGCTCAAGTTGCCTTTTGTCAAAGAAGTAAAGCTGTCCACCGGCATTTCCTCCCTTCTCAACAGAAGTACCAGTTAGAATTAGGTGCTCATCTGGACTGAAGGCCAAATTCGTTTGTGCGTAAAAACAAGGAAGCCCTGAAAACACTTTCAGAGGTTCTCGAGCTTTCCGGATGTCCCAAACCTGGAGCAAGGTGTCAGCGGAAGAAACATAAAACGAAAATAGGAAAACTAACTTTTAGAGTAGCGTCGGTGCTCCTGGAAACCATTGTGTAACCATCAACAGAAAACCGGATCGCAGTTACGTCGTCACCCGCGGCATGGGCCTTACTCAGATAAATATCCGGACGGCTGCCCCATCCTGGTTTGATAGACCAGATCTAGGAAAAGAAAAAAGGCTTGTCAGACGAGAAAACAAGACATAAACCCTACCTGGATGGATCCATCTGCCAATCCCCCCGCGATCGTTTTTCCTTCTAAACCCCATGCGCAAGCCGTAACAGAAACACGACCTGGTCTTGCAAGTTTAGGCTTGATGACCTGCAAACTGGGAAGTTAGAAGACAATTCAAGATTTTCTAGAACCACTTACCTGTTTCTGAGATTTCAAGTTGGTCACGTCCCATATTCGTAATGATCCATCTTCCGACGATGTTAATATCGTGTTCTTCTCCGACGGATGCCACTCACCACCCGTCAAACCAGAAATATGCCCGCTAGTGTGCTTCAAGTCCCGTATGTACATATCACCTTTGATGAATTCGCCTAATGAAAGACCGTCTCTGTCAAATATCTGTCGCAAGATGCGTGTAAGTAGCTTCAAAACAGACAAATGAACCAAATACAAACTCACCTTGGCTCTTGCAGACCCTGTCACAGCAAGAAAACGATCCGCCGAGGGACTCCAGCTAATTGCTCGCATCTGATGTCCTTCAAACGGCTCAATCCGCCTGAACGACTGCAGACGGGAATCCATGCCTTGGAAATCATACATCCGGATCGAGTAGTCGTAGCTCCCTGTCAAAACTCTGGACCCAGAAGGATCAATGGCCAAAGCGGCAACAACCTGGAACTCACAAGCATTAGAATGAAGCTCAACAAAAAAAGAAAGAAAAAACGAAACCAATATGAGTTCGAACGAACCTTTGTGTGTCCCCCGAGAATAATCTCATTGCTTAGAGGAACATGATATTCGTCATCGTCCTCTTCTTCTTCTTCGTCACTATCACTGCCAGCTCCATCGTTTGGTCGAGGAGGACCGATCAACGCAGGCTCGGTATCATCTTTCTCGTCACTTAGAGCAGCCGTAGACGGTCTAGGAGGTCCAATCAATTCTTCTGCTGCTGCCTCTTCCTCCTCTGGTCTCGGCGGCCCAACCATAGAGCCGTCTTCTCGAGTGCTCAAACTTTGCTCGCTTGGACGCTCCAAGTTATGGTTAGCTTCCGCTACTTTCTTCAAACGCTCGCTAAGATTTTTGTTAAGCTGGGTCTCGTCTTCGCTGCTCGATCGCTTTGTGAGCGTGTGGACAACCTCTACAGATGCTATCGACTTCTCTTGCCTTCCAAAAGACACGGGAAAGTGGCCTCTCAGCTGGTCTGCCTCGTAAAACTCCTCCTAGAAGAAAAAGAAAATATCGCGTGAACAAGCGCTGCATTGGTATTGCCTGGAAATCTAAGAACTTACCATGGTATTCGCAGAGGGAGTAGCAGCAGCACGCCCTATATTGCGAGTTGTGAGAAGAGAAAAATCAGTAGGTTCTTACCATTGGAGCGATGCTGAGCTTTGGCGATGGCGCGCATCTGAGCCTGGAGCGCATCGATTAGCGAGGAATCGCAGGAGAATCGACAGAACTTACCATCTCTCGCGCGTCATCTTCGTCGGAGGACATTCTTCCCTTGTCTCACAAAACCCTAAACGAGAAAAGGGAGAAAGATATTTCTAGGGTTCTTGGCCGATTTGCGGCCATGTCGTGGTGCACGATTGAATCCGACCCAGGTGAGAATCCCTTGCTACTCAGCTGATGCGATTGAGATCCTTGCCTCGCAGGCGTTTTCACGGAGCTCATCCAGCAAATGCAAGTCAAGGGCGTCCAGGTAACCTGTTCGTCAAGATCTTCCACTGGATGATCGCGATTTCTATCGAAACCTCTTGCAGGTGGAGGAGCTCTACAGCTTGGATTTGGAATCGCTCTCGTTGCTCCGGTGAGTGAGAGCTGTTTTAAGCAGGAGAAGAAGAAAATAAAAGGAGTTCTAAGGATGGTTTTTCCAGGCCTGTCTATGGACTAATCTTTCTCTTCAAATGGAGGCCTGGGGAGAAAGATACTCGGCCCACTGTGAAGGACAACAAATCGATTTTTTTCGCGAGCCAGGTGAAGTGAAGCTCGATGTTCTAAGTTCTTTCGCTAACTTGGAAAGTTTCACGCAACACAGGTTATAAACAACGCTTGCGCTACTCAAGCAATACTTTCGATCCTGATGAACAGAGTGGAGATCGATATTGGTCCCGAGCTTTCGATGATGCGAGAGTTCGCCAAGGATTTCCCTCCGGAGCTCAAGGGCCTGACCATCAACAACAGCGAGGCCATTCGCACTGCTCACAACAGCTTTGCGAGGCCGGAGCCTTTTGTTCCCGACGAGCAAAAGTTTGCGGACAAAGACGACGACGTCTATCACTTCATCAGCTATCTCCCGGTGGACGGTGTTTTGTACGAGCTGGACGGACTCAAGGAAGGGCCGATCAGTCTGGGCGAGTGTGGCAGTGGAGACGCTGATAGCATGGAGTGGCTCAAGATGGTCCAGCCAGTGATCCAAGAGAGGATCGAGAAGTACTCCAAGAGCGAGATCCGCTTCAACCTCATGGCCGTGATCAAGAACAGGAAGGATCTCTACAACCAGCAGCTGGCGGAGCTCGACAAGCGGAAAACCGAGATAAGTGGCGACGACGGCATGGACGTCGACTCCAAGAGCGGCAGCGGCAACGAGGAGCTGGCACAGATCGACGCGGAGATCGCTCGACTGACCGAGAAGATCACTCAAGAGGATGAAAAGTTCAAGAAGTGGAAGACTGAGAACATCCGGAGGAAGCACAACTACATCCCCTTCCTCTTCAACTTCCTCAAGATCCTGGCAGAGAAGAAGCAGCTCAAGCCGCTGATTGAAAAGGCCAGGCAGAAGACATAGACAAGAAAAGCTCGAAACCTCAGACGACGAACGCTGGTAACAAATTTTTCTCTTTTCTAACTCTCAGTAGAAGACGTTTCCCAGTGCCTCTCCCAGGATCTCGTCGATGCTCCCCTTGACATCGACGTAGTCCTCGTCGTCCAGCAGCGCCACGAGCGACGCATCATCCTCGTCAAAGATTTGCTGCTGCTGCTCAAAGAGATTGGGAGGAGCTTCATTGGCAGGAGGAGGAGGAGGAGGAGGAGGAGGAGGGAACTTCTCGTCGACCGTCGTGTTCTTGCTCTTGCTCGAGCTCTTGGTCCTCGAGCTCCCGTCGTTATACTTTGGAATCTTGTTCTCGTGGTCGGGCTTCCAGGAGTAGTAGTGGAAAGTCTCGGATTTTCCTTTGGGCTCGTTCTGGTCGACTTTGACCACCACCTGGGCTCCGCAAAGCACCGCGAGCTCGTAAGCCTTCTTATACAGCCCGCCGTTGCGCTTCCGGAACGTTTGCTTGCGCGTCGTCTGGTTCTTGATGAACGCGATCTGGATCTTTTGCTTGCCCTGTTTGAGCTTGAATTTCTGCTAAGACGATCGATCGATAGATCAATGGGAGAGGGAAGAACAAGAACAATAGAGAGAATAAGAGAGCGATGTTCTCGCTTGGAATTAAACTCACTTTATCAGGTTTGTCGGCTTTGTCGGCCATTCTTTAAAGTTGTCGGCGCCTCCAAAAGTAAAAAGTTGGGTTTGTCGGCCTTTTTAGGGGCAAGATGTTTAGGGCGGGGATTAACCAAATCTGGAAGAAATTAAGATTAAGCTGTGTGGTCGTCCGGGGAATCGAACCTCCGCCCACTCCCGCGCGATGGGGCGGACCACTAATGCCAGTGGCACTAGCTCCGGCCGGAGGCGCGGGCGATCCGAGGAGGAAGAAGCTGGCGCTAGCGGCGCTGGCGGCGACTGGGATCATCCTGCGGCGGCGCTCCATCGCCAGCAATCCATGCTCGTGGATGGTAAGCGCCGCAGCTTGTCCGTGCCGATTTGCAAGGATTTCGGGCGGGGGCGGTGCTCCAGGCCCGTGCACGAGTGTCGCTATGCTCATCCTCCTCCCACCGTGGCCGTGGAAGGGTATGCTCTCTCTCGAAATCTCTGGGTGTGGCTCTCAAATCCCTAGTTGCGAGGGTTTTCTCTCAGCGATCAGGTGACCATTTGCTACGACTCTCTTCGAGACAGATGCGCTCGTGGGATTTCGTGCCGCTACTTCCATCCGCCGCATCACATTCGCGTGTAAGATCACGATCTTTGTCCTCTCTCTCTCTTGCATTTGAGACGCCTAGCCTACGATCTCCTTGTTCTTCATCAGTGCCACACAAGAAGCCGTCGGCATTGATCCATCGCCGCTGGGGCTCGAGGTACGTGATGGATTTCTCGAAACATCGTCCATAAGCGCTAACGATTGATTCCTCTTCGAATTCTCCCAGCTGCGAGCATCCAATTTGCTGCTTGGTCCTTCCCCGACATCTCTTATCACGATCTCGAGGCCTTCGATCGAGGTGCTTCCTCCATGGTTTCTTTATATTCCTTTTTCCATGGATTTCTCCATCATGGTTTATCGAAACTTTGGCATTTCTTTGTCAGGTTTGTAGGGACTTTGTTCGTGGGCGATGCAAGCGTGAATCGGACGAATGTCGTTTCGCTCATCACGTCCCAGCAGCCGGAGATGGCGATTATGCTATAGTGTGTGTCCGTCTTTTGCTTCCTCCAGCGATCACTCAAACCCGCTCGTTCTTACAGGTCTGCCAGGATTTTATGCGCGGAAGATGCGAACGAGAGACTTGCCGCTACTTCCATCCCCCGGATCATCTAAGATCTCGTGTGAAAGATGTAAGTACAGACGTCCGTACAGATTTTCTTTGTTCATCCGTAGTTTTTTTTGTTCTTTCTTGCTAGATTGGAGGTGTTCCTGCTGCCGTGTCAAATCCTCCTCGATACGATTTACCAGGTGTCTACTGTTCTTATCCAGGATACGAGAACCAGGTAAAGTCGTACTCTACGTGATTAGCTTTCGCAAACTCTTACTGTCAGGCGAAGCGAATGAGGCTGGATGAAGTGCTTCTCGACAAGAGCTCAAACCTTGTAAGAAGACTGTTCTTAATTGTTTTCGGGAAGGTTTTCACGAATTTTTTCCAGCTTCTGGAAGCCGCTGGCCAATCTCTCCCTGTGTTTAGACCGTGCTCACCTCCACGGAATGGTACAATGACCGAGCTCCTTCTTGCCATCACCCGTGAGTGAGAATGTTTTACAGATCAAGACAGGCTCCCGGCGTGCCGAGATTTCTTGCGTAACAAATGTGCCAGAAGCTCGTCCTGTCGATTCGTCCACCCAGCTCCCTACACGCAGGTAGTCAACTTCGGAGCAAGAGTGCGTACTAGAGTACTGATTTGTGGAACTCGCAGGTGGTCGACGGCTATGTAACTCTCTGCCGTGATTCTCTCCGAGGCAAATGTTTAAGGGAAGCATGCCGCTTCCACCATCCGACGCAATCGGCTTTCCAGCAACGCGATAACTTCGAGAGCTCCAACACGGATAACTTCTATGGGAGCCGAGCGGCAGTAGTAGCAGCTCCGGACTCGTTTGGAAGCCTCTCTCCAAACGAAGACGATGACAATCCAGGCGATCAAGGTACTCCGAATCACCACAGGCTACAACACTCTCCCGCTCCTCCTCTTGATCATCTTCCTCCTCCCCCTCCTCCACCTCTTCCTTCACCTCACCTCCTCCAACAGCTTCTCCATCTTCTAGTCCTGCAATAGAGAGAAGCAATTTGGCAGAGGCAATGTCATGGCATATATATAATCTTTCTCTCGAATCGTGCCACAGTTGGAGATGACTAGAGCTGCCGGACTGCTCCTGCTCGCTTCCTTTCGGTCAGATGCAAAAAATGCCACTGACTCTACCGCGCTGCGCTAGGTACCCTCCTCCTTTTTGTAGCTACTAGAACCTCTTCAATTCTAAGATATTCCAGCAGATACTGTAAGTTTGCAAGGTCATCTCTTTACGAAGCTCAACCTCACGCAAGCAGAGACGATGTTGTTGTATATGCGGCGAGCCAGGAGCTTGGCCATGAAAGATGTTTCACTCTGTTCTTGAGAAGGTCGAGTCCTCCATCCGAATTGCCGTGTCTATAGCATGAGCACAACAATTATAGTCCCCGCTCCAAAATAGGTGCCTTGAAACAACTTGATAAACAGACTAGAAAATACCTGCATTGATCTAGGGACCCCTTATTTTTGCTTCTTGTCCTTAAAAGAACAATATTGGCTATTTGTGTCATGGATTCTTCTACATCCAAGGATTCCGAGGGCAAGGAAAACATTTATGTATTGCTGCTAATAGGGCTGTTGCTTGTAGTGTTTCTCCCACTAACTATCCTGGCTTTTGTGGCGGATACCAATCGTCACGAACCATGGTGCGACTTCAAGGACATCAAGGTTTTACACGTGGAGCTCCCATCAAACTCAACTCCGAGGTTTGTCTCGGATGTAGAGCTCCAGTTTACCTGCTCGAATCTCAAGCATCGCAAGCACGAAGGTCTGCTGGACGTGGAGTTTGATGCAATGGACGTAAGTTTGAGCTACCGTGGTGTCGAGCTCGCCAGTTTTCATTCCCCATGTTTGTGCTTCCGAAGAGCAGGAGTGTTTCTGTGACACGGAGGCTTTTGGTGAACGAGACGAGCCTTCCCGTGGATAAGTTGGAGCTGTTTGAAGCGGATGTCGCATCGGGCAAAGTCCCACTCTCGGCAGCTATTCATGCTAGTGCTCAGTGGGTTCACAGATTCGGCCGGGGTAGCTGATCTTACCTGTGACTTGGGCATGCTTCTTCCACAGAAGGGTGAAACCAAAGCGCAAGATATTGTGTTTGATGGTCAGCAGCTGTGCCCTGTTTACTTGTCCTGTCCCTATTGTGGTTTCAAACAGAGGGATGGTGTAGTTCAGGCCCCAGGCCAGGAAGGTGGAAGCACCAAAAGCCTTGAGGGTATCGGTGTGGAAGCCTTTGCCAGTCGATGAGATCGCCAAGCTACACACTAAGTTTTATTATTTATATACAATCTAGTTAGATTTTTATAATTTCTATCAAACTAATATATAACGACAGAATATTCTTGATGCTAGTAAAAACTACATGGCGATCTACCATATCAACTTGGCATTGATCCATCAACTGACCTTCTTCTGTGGATTTAATCGCCACAATCGTTGTGGTTTGGTAGATCTCCTTGGTTGCTCGTGACGCTGAATCGAAGAGGAGACAGTCTTGATTTTCTTTTTGGTAACAGTTTGACTGACTTCTTCAGCATATCTTCTTTAAAGACACAGAAAAAAGATGACTTACCAACGACAAGGAAAAATCAAGCATACCTCATTCCACAATACCATTTGAGTTTTGCCCTGCAAAGCAGACCATGTTCAGAAACTCCGTAATCTTCATATTAAATCCAACAGAGCATAAAAGCAATCCTGTGTCAGCTGTGTCCAATGCATCCTGTCACTTACAAGAAAGAGCTCCACCATCCACAGACTGAAGGATGAGATGACCCTCCGCAACTTGAGCGTTGCATCCACTGAAGAGATATGTGGAAGCTATCGGCGTTCTTGTCCTGCTTCTTCACAGAGTTTGTGGACTACAGCTTCACGGCCAAGATGGAGGAGCAAGTCGACGCTGTTTCGTCCAGGAGCATGAAATGGAAGGAAGTGTTGCAGCAGTTCTGGCCAAATTTCCACGACAAAGTTGCGGCCACGGCCAAAGTTCCGACTCAACAGGTAGACATGCTCGCCAGAGGATGACTCAAGTATACATGATCAAGAGACATGCCTAAACCTAGATCATTGAGCTGGCACTATCACCTAAAATCATGTCATAGAGAGTGTATGTACTGAACATCCACGGCTTCAGCCCCAAGGTTGAAGACACTCCCTCTTAAGTGGCCAGCCCCAAAGATGCCAAATTAATCTATCTTATCTGTGTTTACTGCTTGACCCAAGAGTAAAATGAATCACAATGCAAAAACTGCAAGCCTTCATTTGCAGGACAGAGAACCAGGTAAAGTCGTACTCTACGTGATTAGCTTTTGTATGTCCTCAAACTTTTGCTGTCAGGCAAAGCGAATGAGGCTGGATGAAACGCTCCTTGACCGGCACCACAAGAACTCAAACCTTGTAAGAAACTGTTCTTAATTGTAATCGTTTCGATGTTTGGAAGGCTGGGAGACATCCAAGATGCAAAGAGGTTTTTCGATTCGATGCCCCCCTTTCGTTTTAGAGAAGTTTTTGACGAATTTTTCCAGCTTATGGAACCTGTGTTTAGACCGTGAGTGAGAATGTTTTACAGATGGCTCCCGGCGCGCCGTGATTCTCTCCAAGGCAAATGTTTAAGGGAAGCATGCCGCTTCCACCATCCGACACAATCGGCTTTCCAGAAACGCGATGACTTCGAGAGCTCCAACATGGATAACTTCTATGGGAGCCGAGCGGCAGTAGTAGCAGCTCCGGACTCGTTTGGAAGCCTCCCTCCAATGAGAATCCAGGCGATCAAGGTACTCCAAATCACCACAGGCTACAACACTCTCCCGCTCCTCCTCTTGATTATCTTCCTCCTCTTCCTCCTCCTTCACCAACACCTCGTTTTAGAGAAGCAATTTGGCAGAGGCAA